GTTGGTCCGTAGTCCGGAGTCCGTGGTCCGGAGTCCGGAGTCGATGCAGTCAGAAAAGTGTTCTTATAATCAAGTAAAGCTGATTTTGCTCAACGGTAATTTTCTTTAAGCCGTGATAAAAGGTTTTCCAATTGTAAGCTTTAATCAAGCTATATTTGTGCCGCACTTTTGTAGTGACATTCTTAGAACTTGAAATGCATAAATTGCAGTGAGTATTTGCAGCTTATGCGAAGTACCACCAATTTCTGGCAGTGCACTTCGCTCAGTCCGGGATGGATTAACATGTTGGCCGCACGGGGCTCATTAAGTGCGTCGTTGACGTTTGTCGTCATCCTGCGTCCCGCGTCCTGCGTCCCTCGTCCTGCGTCCTCCATTCTGCATCCTTCGTCTCCGGCTCCAGCGAATGACTGAGTGTGCCCCAGTGGCGGCGGGAGGGAGGCTTCCGGGGGTTTGGGGGCTTAGTGGGGGCGGACTTAAGCGCTGGGACTCCGGTTATGTGTGCTTAGAGCGCACATCAAATATCAAATTAACGATGACGACGCCACAGGAGCCGCAATCATTTTTACTTGTTTCCTTTTTGATTTGTTTCCGTTTTCCTTGTTTTTCCTCTTCCGTGCTGCCCTTTTCCTCCATGGAAAAGCTGGCAAATATTTGCACTCGCGGAATGAATGATTTGAATGAATAACTCAGATGGACTAATGATGAGTGCGGTTAACATATCGAGTATTGCACTGGAAAATGAGGGGCATCATGGTTGACATGGTGCTAAATTGGAAATCGCAACCGAGCGATCAAATGTATTTCCAGAACATAAAATTCGTACACTTTGTAAAATCCCAATTTTATTTATTTAGTTGTAGGTTATAAACTTGGGCTACAGAAAGACATAGGCTACTGGATACATAGGTACAAATTATTAAGAATAAATTAAAATATATTTGCAGAGGTTAACAATCAGGCGATTAGTTAAACATGGAAAGCAGGAATGCCCACAGAATATTGATTCTACAAGAAAAAACTTTCACATTTAACATATGAATATACATTCGACCACTGATTTTCCGAGGCTAATCCTTGTTGCTACTGTATTTTGAGTATACCTGCGGAATTCGTTTTTCCATTCATACCCGCTGCGCCCACTTGAGACACTGCACTTGGATAATGGCTCAGAGCTTATGGCCATTGATTATTAGATTTGTGTGGCCTCCATCATCCCGGCCGCAGCCGATGGGTCTGAATGGCTCTGAATACAAATCGACGGGTCCTGCAGGTTCTGCAGCGACCCCTCGAAATCGTTCCACATGGAGCGTGACAAAGTCGCCCAACCACTGGCTCTGGTTCGGTTTCCGAATGCTCCCCCAATCTTGTCCTGATCCAGATGCCCCAGTCCTGCGTCCTTCGTCCTGCGTCCTGCGTCCTTCTGCTTACGACTCATTTGCGTTTGGCGCCCGTAAAGCAATTATGACCCAATTGGTTTGGCTTTGGTTTGCATTTCCCTTCAGTCCACCACCCACCGCCCACCGCCCACCACCCACTCCTTGTCGTGTGTTTAACCTGATTTGTGCACAACTGTCATGCCCGCCGTGTACACTGGAAAAAGTGAAAATTCCTAGGAAATTCGGACGTAATAGCACCATCTTCAGGAAGTACAAATTCGCACGTTAGTATTTTCTGAAGTTTTTAGGGGTTTTCAAATATCGGAAAGCTAATAAAACTTGTTTAATCTGCTGATTGGCGTTCAAGAAGTCTGACCAACTAGTCAGAAATTGTTTATGTAAAGTGCTTGTGAATGTAATTTTTGAAAACCAAAAACCTAGTTTGCTCAGCACGGCTTACTGATTCCAATTACCAAACAACTGCTTCATCAGAAAATAGCTTACTTACTGTCCCTACTTTTCCACATTTCTCATGGAAGACAAAGATCTTGAAGATATAGATTATTAAATGTAGTTTCTATGCAACTTGAGGCTATTTTAACCACAGGTTCTATTAGCTAGTTGCTCGTACATTGCTATAATATAGTGAATTGCTATTGTTTTATGTTTTCCACTGCTGATGAAGGATCCCAAATACCTACACATGCACTGCTGGCTGATTAACCTCTCAAGATCCGCAACAGCACATTTGCCAGTGTAAGCATGCAGAAATATATGCAGCACTCCCTTAAGTTGCAATGTGTGCGTGTGTGTGTAGCTGGCCATGGACGTGCCCTGATACCAGTGGAGGGGGGAGGGGCATCGAAAAGGGGGTGCGAGTACGAATGCGGGCGGATCCTTCGTCCTGCGTCTCTGTTTCCGGTCCTCGTGCCCCTTCCCTTTGTGCATGATGCAATGAAATTATCACTTTCAATTGCAATTGCCACACACTCGCCAGTTCGAGTGGGGGTTGTAGGGGGGGTGGGGGGTCTGCAGGCAGCAGGGGCGGGTTTTTAGGGGGCGAAGCTGCCGGATTGAAGAGGCCTTGGGCAGGTGTTGAGTGCACGTAGCTCAGGTATGGCCGCTTTTATGTCTGCACGTGTGCAACGCACTCGCTCTAACTGGCGGCTTTGGCTCGCCATCTTCGGGATCCTCGGTCCTTGGTCGTCCTTCTCACTCTGGCGGGGCTGTTCCCAAAATCTTTATAGGTTTTGAAATTCTTTTATGGCACTGGAGGTGGGCCATTAAAATATTTTATACTATTCCGTTTGTCTGGCATCACTTGGTGGTATCCAAAAGAGCTTTCTTATTTTCACGGTTTGTAAGCCTGGATTAAAGTGCCTTAGGTGTTTTATTTTAAACAATAGCTCACCGCTTGAAATTCTATGCTACCAACAATTTCTGTTTTAATTCTTGAAAAATCAGAGGCAAAACCCTTGATATTGGATTGCTTAAAGCTGGGCCTTGAAACGGAGTTTTTAGAGTCGCAAATAAATCAGGAACATCCTGCGCGTCCGTATCCTGGGCTCCCTGCTCCAATTGGACCCTCCTCCTCTCCTCTCCTCGCTGCTCCTTGCCCGTCCCGCAGTGTGCACCATTTGCATTGCATACTTTTGTGCGTAGCCTTCATTTAATTGCAACGCTGTCGCAGGACGACGAAGGATTCCGAGGAGTGGGGCTCGGCGGAGGCGGGGAGCTCCTCCAAGTTTTCGGGGCGGGCTGGTTGGGGAGGAGCTGTCCTTTTGTGTGACAAACCAACTGTGGACTGCCTGCTGTTGACTGAAAGATATATGATGCCAAGCTCAAAAGGCGAAATTCGCTGCTCTTTTTAAGGACACTTTCCCCATCCTTTCCCCCGACATATTTATACATATATTTGTTTTGTCTCTGTGTGTGCCATGTTCTGCAAATTAAATTCTTTGCTCTTTGCTCCGCTTCCATTTGAATTTGTTGTTGTTACTCCCCGTTTTTTTGCGGATTTCCATTTAACTAAGTTCTTAATCAGGCAGCCCCTTGACAACTGTCACTGGCAGGACATTATATGGGCGGGGAGTGGACTCCGCGGGGCGCTGACCCATTAAGAAAAATGTGCAAATGGAGCACATATGCATACAATTCCGAGTCAGCAAGGAAATCCATTTAGAAACGAGGAACAGCTAAGCAAGGAGCCGCAATTTGTTGGGCCTATATAAGAAGGTTGGCTCTTAATTATGAAAAGTGAATTACGGAGTGAAAAGTATGTTACAACTAAACATTATGCAAACAACAGATAACTGAGGGATACGTTTTGTTAAGATATCACCAAAAAAGAAATTCAGTTTTTTTAAGTTAATTGCATTTTGTTTTTCGTAAATATTGCCAAAATAGAAGAAACGATTTCATCGCACAGTGCCACATGCACATAGAGTCCTGAGGACTTTAGCAGTAAGAAAAATGCACTTCTGCAAGCAATTTGGAATTTTAGAATGCTGCCTGATGTCACCTAATTTACGGCCTAATTTGCTGCGGAATCTGCCAATTTTCCGGCTGCAATTTAAGAGGCCTTCGTTTAATTGGCGCCCAACTAATTTTTACGCTCGCCAACTAATTTCAATTTCAATTGTTTAACTTTGCTCACTTTCTCCATTAGCGCCGGCTCGCTCGCACACCCCATGTCCGTCCCTTTCTGCGGCAGCCTAGTTTCAATTTCTCCAGCTCCGACGCTTATTGTTGTTGTTTGCCTTGTTTTGCATACTGCATTGTGGCATTGTGGCGCCGCCCCTCACTTTTTAACCCTTTGGGTTTTTAATGAGCTGCGGGAATAGTTTTTTGGTTTTTTGCTGCCGCCGCTGCTGCTTCTTGGCTTTGTTGTTGGCCTGGCCTTGCGCCTATTTCCCTGGAAAAGGGGGCGTGGCTTGGGTACGAATGGTCGGCGTACGACCCTTGTCGCATTTTTTATGCTTTGGCGGCTCATTAGCGGGTCACCGTACCCTAGGGCAAGAACGAACTACTGCTCCTCCATTTCCATTTCCGTTTCCCATCCGCTTTTCCGCCTTTCCTAGTTTCCATGAAAATGGGAAAATATCCCCCCTCCCCGCCGTTTTTATTTGTGACGGATTTTCTCTTAGTCATCTTTGGCAATGGGAAATTTCGTATCTTGTCCGCAATGCTGACAAAAGCAAAAGTGTTGAACAGGAAGGCAGCTCTCACATGGACTTGTCTCCGTCTCTCTCTGTTTGCCCTCTGCCGTCTCGCTCCCCCACGCCCTGTGTGTCCTGTCGCTGATAGCGCAAAAACTGTCAGATGATTATCGGAACTGGGGAACGCCTTTTGTCAACTTTATAAACGAGCTCATCTCGCCCTGACGAAAGACTTGGACCGAGGCACGTCCGTACCACAGAAAAACAAACGCACGTCTTGAGGAGCAGTGGTTCTGCAGGCGAGAAAATCATTGGGAAATCGCTTAAGGAGCCATATTTGCTTGGGCTTTCCCCCAGCGTTACTTACTGTCCCTTTCTAATCCAAACGCATCGCAGTTGGTTGATCATATATCTTTTAGATCTTTATATTTCTGCAATTAATATATATATTTCTTTATACTTTTAGGTAAGGCTACCCCGAAATCCTGAACAACTCTACCCAATTGTTTAAAGTGAGCCACTTTAGAGAATGTAAGTTTCAACATATAAAGCTTTAATATAAAGTTGAATAAATTTTTTTTTTTTTCTTTTTATTTACAATCTGTCTTAAACAAGTGTGACATTAAGTATGACAATAAGTAATTCTTAATGGAGAACAATAGTTTTCATAGTTTTCATCTCGGTTCCCTAATTGTTACTCCCCATTTTGGTCGGGAGTTTTCCCAGTTTTGTGTCACTGTGCGTGGGCCTTAACCCTTGCGTCCTGATCCAGGGACAAGTATCTACCTCTGGCCACGGACCCTTTGCACACTTTGCTCGATTCTGTTTGACTTGTTGGTGGCGTTCTTTTCTTGGTCCCCCCGCCAGCCCCCTACCCCTTCCCCCCTCACCCCAAGCCACCGAGCCACCGAGCAGGCCTTAACCCTTACCCGTGCCTGGGGAATGGCTGCTGTTAATTGGCTGCCACAATTTGACTTTTTGTCGCCTATCGGGCAAACAGAATCAGTTCCAGGGGCATGTCCGTGGGCGACATCATCATTTCCCCAAGACCACCGACCCCCGACCCCCATCCCCCGCCACGCCCACCGATTTCTTGGCCACGTTTTCTTCCGCCTTCGTGTGCGTGACTATCGAGCTGTGAGGCGGTTTTGCATGGGAAATTGAAAATTTGCTGTTCACTTGCTGTTTGTGTAGTCGCATGCGACGCATCCCCTGCTCCCGAAAAGCGAGAGAAGTTTGCCAAGCTCGGAAAGAAGGAAAAAACGCGAGGAAAGTGACGGAAAATTAGAAAGTTGAGGCAAGGGCGCTCCGCTCCAACTGCCGCGTCACTCATACGCCATGTGGGCAAACAAAAAATTCGAATGCGATTTCCTTTGCCGCTGCGGGAGCTGCATTTTAGTGCACGGGGGCTCTGCCTCTGCGATTTGATTTCCCGCTGCAATGCCCATTCGCCCACGACTATATGTCTTTGTACACATTTATATACATACGCCTAGGTACATGTGTGTTGCGCGATGGTGGGGCAGGTGGGGCATTATAAACTTATCATAAAATAAAGTTAGCAGCTATTCAAACCGCAAATTTTTGCAACGACGCGTTATTAAATCACCAGGTGTGGGAATATGTGTGCACACACGACTCTGTGTGGGAAACTTAACAAAAGCAAAAATATTAAAAGGAGAAAGGATACTGGAAAGGGGGAAGGGGGAAGGGGAAGACACACACACATGTGGACAAAATGCAGGCAGCTGCACAAAATGGCTGCGACGGAACGGAAAATGGGAACAAGCAGAACGAAAAGTCAATTTGAAGCGGAGGCGATGGCCGAAGGGAAAGGATCGGGGAAGGATACCCTTTAAAGGAGGTCCTGGCGAAGAACCAGGGCTCCGAAATCAGCCATTACTTACTTGGGACACTTTGCAACGCTCATATGCGCCGGCCTTTCACACCTTTCACACACTAATGATTAATTTAAATAAATTATATGAATTGAAAAATATTGCAGCAAGGTAGCTTTAATAAAAGGATGCTTGAAAGTTGGATTCTCTTTTTATACTTCCATCTTAATAGCAAGCAATACTATAGGTGTTGTATGTAGCTTTACTCGTAAGTTTTGCAAATTTATTCCGATGGAAAGTGGATAGGATAGAAATCCATCTGCCTAAGCAGCTTATAGCGCCGGTGCTGAAATAAATACACATAGGGTCATGCAGAAACAATAACGAGCACAAAAGCATGGACGCACAACAATAAATATTAGCTTCCTGATGCCGGCGGAATTCTGTGAGGAAACTAATGCAGCCTGGCTTGGGAGCTGAAGAGATCGGCGGGCTTGTATGCCCCATTGTTCAGGGTATACAAAGGCACAAAGGTGTGCGGAAATATTTAGGGGGCGGGGAAGGGGTTGGTGAGCAGCGTTGTCAAGCCAAAAAGCAGCAGCGTTGACATTTTCTCAACTTAATTAATTTTGCTGCTACCCCGGCTAATACGCACGCACACTCGTGCCAGCCATCATGTAGCACGTGTATGTGTGCATACGTGTATGTACTTATCAAATACACATGCACACACCCACACATATGCATGCTAACATACATACATGCTTTCCTATGTGTGAGTTCCCTTTGACTGGCACTTTGTTTAGTTTTCGCTCGCATTTTGGCGCTTGATTAAATTTTGAGCGCGGCTGTGGGCGAAATATGGGTGGGGTGGCATAAATATTTCCGATTTCAATTTTCGGTTTCAATTAAATTGGAAATTGCGGCGATAAATTAAATCAGCTTGAGACTGTCAAAGGATTTCAATTACGCACAGAAATGAGTTCATGATCGGCATGAAGAATGGCAAATGGGAAATGGGAAATGGGAAATGGAGTTGCGCCTGCATGATTTACGTTCCGGATTTGTTGTGGGTCCTTGGCATTGACTTTATAAGGACTTTATTAGCAAATAAAACGCCATGAAAAACAAGCAAGGGGCGGAGGGGCAAGGGGTTAATGGGGGGTCCTGCCGTGGCCCATTGCCCATTGTCCCGGATCCTTGGTCCTTTATGGCGGCTCCTTCGGCCCTGCTCCGGCACTCAAGTGCTCGTAGTTCTCCGCTTTTGTGCACCCCATCCCACTGGCATTATGCAAATCGCAATGCCACGCCCCTTCCCCGCCCCTTCCCCGCCCTTGCGGAGCACAAAAGAGTCGGCGGCCCAGCATCTGGAATGTCGATGCACAACAGCAGCAGCAGCAGCAGCAGCAACTGCAACACCGACAGCATTGGCAGCGCCTTAAGTGGATTACAGCGGCAACTTGTTGGCAGGGTAAAAGGATCCGGAGATCCCGGGCTCAGTGTTCAATAAACACGCCCCCAGAAACCAGCACAGGATAACCAGGATAGCCAGGGTAACCAGCAGGACGGGCACTCAGGAAAATAGCGTTCCAAAGTGGCACATCGATCAGAAAACATTCGAGAAGTCAAAGGACTTGCGTGGCTCATCGGTCAAGCATAAGACTTTCCTCAGTCCTTTTGTCCTACAAGCAACTTTCTCCGCACAAAATATTATATATATTTAAATAATACACTTTAAATTATTTAAGGCACAGCAACTCACATCAAAATACGTACTCATTGGCTGAATAGTGTTTCTACTATTTTTGCGACAGTGTGCCGCCTTCGAGTGGCTCACTCGGAGTGACTCCAACTGGAGCTCCAGTTGCAGCTCATCTGTCCAAGCTCAGCGGCTGCTCTGCTGAGGGCGCTTATGGATTTTCCATTTAGCACAGGCCAGGCGACTCTGCTGCTCGCCGGATTTGGCCGCTTCACCAGCCAAACACTTCACTCCATCGATGCACGCGGCGTATACGCAATACGGGTGCTGCAAAATGGGAGGATGGGAGGAGCTGGCTGATGAGGGCACTTGGCAGAGACAGCAATTAGCCAGGAAAGAATGCCGAAGATGCCGCTCCAGGAGAGCTGGTCACATAATTTAAAACTCTCGCCCAACTGCAATTTAAACTTTGTTTGCTGCCTTCGTTTACAACGCGTCGCCAGCTCAGAAATTGTTTTCATTCCTCGTCCTCGTCGGCACGTCCTTTGCCTTTGGTCCTTGCCATTCCTCTCCAGCATTTTGCGTTTTTTTGTTGCGTGTCTGTACTTTTAGCAGTTATGCAGTTGCCTAGCAAATAATAACTTCCGCCTTGGCTGCTTTGACTAAGAAATGAAATGATTACAAAACAGAGAAGCGGGTCCAGTTGCTGTGCATTTTATTGCTTAAAGCGAAATTTACATGACTGAAGCCCAGGCTGATGCTGATGCGGATGCGGATGCTGACTCTGGAGCTGGAGCTGGAGCAAACTTTATTACCAGGAAAACTTTGCCGGGTAAAAGTGCAACCGCCGGCGGCTGATAGTTATCCTTATGTACTGCTAATAAGTACAACAAATAACGGGGCCAACAACCACGCCGCAGCGACATAAATAAATAACATTCATTTCCGCCCAGCCCCACCGCCACTCCCACTGCCATTTAAGACCCGTTTCAGCCCCGCGGGCACTCGAGGGTTAAGCGAGCGAGCGAGCGAGCGAGCTGCAAGACCGAGCGCTGAGAGCTGCCCCGCCCACTTGATAGTTTCCCCAACCGAATCCAAGCCCACTCACTGCCAGTCGATGGAGCGCGAGCGACTGAAGAGTCCTCGCAAAGTTTCCTCAAGTTGATCGAAAAATAAAGCGCGCATAGTTGCCAGGCAATCGGGGGATGTCCTGGCCAGGATGCATTCCCCTCCCGCTTCATTATGTTGCGCGACAACTCTTTTGGGCCAGCAATCAGCCGTGGATTGTTTGCGAAGAGCCATGGAAGTCATGGTCTGGCTGGATTTATTGCAGCCAAAAGTGCCGCCAAGAGGCCAGAAGTCATTGGCTCGATTTATGGTATTTTCGAATTTTGACGGGCTTCGCCGAATAGCAGTCGCCCTGCCTCCTTTTGGCCAACAAGGCGATGTTGCCCAACCCTTGAGATGCAGGACACAAAGATACAACTTTCGTATTTTGAAAATGCTCATGATTGTGGGTATTTGTGCCGCTCTACAAACCCGCCGTCGCCGCGATCCAGGCCCTAACCTTGGAGATCCTCAGGTAGCCATCGGGAGCAGCCCTGCCACAGCCACCGCCGAGGAGCAAGCTGGCCAGGCCCACCACCTTGCCCCCGTAAGTGGCCGGTCCGCCGGAGTCGCCATAACAGGCACCCCTGTTCTTGGGATGCAGCAGGCAAATCATGGAGTCCGGCAGGTGAGAGTAGAAGAGCCAGCGACAGGTCCGCCTGGATATGCTGGTCAGCTGCACGAAGAGCAGGCTGTCGGAGAGGGGTCCCTGCTCGGCGATGTTGCCCCAGCCGGAGATGAGCACGGAGGCGCAGTTGGGCGGATCCTCGGTGGCCAGCGGAATGGCCGCTATGCTGGTGTCAAAGGTCAGCGGACTCTGCAGTCGCAGCACGGCCAGGTCGTTGTGGCCGCCTGTGGCATAGTTGGGATGCATGGTGACTTCGGCCACCGGAATGCGCACGCCGCCGCTGGAGAGGAGCAGGCTGCCCGCCTGAACCGCCCATAAGTCCGCCGGAACTCTGAGGCGCAGATATGGCATTTCTTGCGAGGTGAAAGACCAACAGTTTGGATCATACTTACACGACATCGCCGTGCTTCACGCAGTGGCCAGCGGTGATGACGTGGGTGGCTGAGATGATGACTCCTCCGCAGTAGTGTTCTCCTCGCAGACGCAGGGAGATCTGGTGGGGAAACTGACCCTCCTTCGCCTCGGTGCCGCCCACGATTCGGGGTTCTATCGGGGATTCACTGCGGTTTTGGGCCACGTCCTGCCCCAGTGTTCCCTGGACACCATAAAGCAGCAGTAGCAGATTAGTCCACAATGCTGGCATGACTTAATGGGTGGAGCTCCTGTTAGGTTTTACTCGCCGAAAGTCGTTTTCAGCTGTATACATAGGGTAGTTAATAAATAAGTAATGGCACTCATCATCATTAGTATTGCTATTCAGCTGCATGCAAAGTGGCTTAGATTTTCGCCTCCGCGGCCACCTAATTACCAGGGAATTATAATGGAATACCAGGTTCCAGAAAACCAACTAGCAGCAGTTTCCAACTTTAAGCCCAACCGCACATGGCTGGCAATTGAATTCGCCGGCGAACTGAAAGTGAATAAGATTCAGCGATTAGGCGAGCAAACAAAGCTTTGACCCCTAACCCCTAACCCTTAACCCTTACCAGCATCTGATATGCTCAGTGTTCAGGCGAATGGCTCGCTAACATTTGAACATTCGACCCCGACAGCGACTCATACGAGCAGCTTCCAATGGACAGCCATCGGAGATAGCACTCCTCCCCCTTTGGGCCGCCGGATTAACCCAGTTAGTGACCACCCACCGCACCACCGCACCACCGCACCACCGGCCAAGCGCACCACTGCGCAACCAAACACCTTCCATCGCCGAGTGCCATGCATTTTTCATGGCCCGCCACGAGCTCAGCTGCTCCACTAAATTAACGAAATCAATCATCATCATCATCGTCGTGGCGGCATGGCACCTGACATACACTGAAAAACATGGCAGGCAGCTTTGCTCATTTGATGACAAGCGAGAGAGACGAACTAGCAAGTAAAACAACAAAAGGCACTGCTTACCAGTACTAAATGCAAGAAAAGAAGTGGCAACAACTTATAAGAATTACTATTTGATAATGTTACTTGATATAGTACACTTATATATATAGTACAGTAAGTACTACATACTCGCATTCACAATCAGTCACCTTTTGTGGCGCTGCCAAATCGAGGACCCGTTTCTCGCCGTGCACTTTTGTCCAGCAAGGCGCCACATGCCGCTTCTCCCACGCTGCGAAATGAGAATTAAATAAAAAACTGTCAGAGCCAAGAAATGCGAGCCCATTCATCACCCGATTGTTGGGGGCTAGTAATTTGTAACCTAATTGAATGCGTGAGCGCCGGCGGCCCAAATCACGCATACGCCCCGTTGCACCGCCTCAATATGGGTTTCAATTTCGGCTGCAGTCGGCGGCCTTTTTTAATTATGGCTGCAGTCGGAAACTCTTTGGAGCTTTTATTTGGCCGCCGCCTTGCGTAGCACACATGCCACGCCCCTCCCATCCGCACCCGCCCACTAGGCTCTTTATGTGAAGTTTTTAATTAACTGCCTTACAAAGATTTTCCTTCTTCCGGTATTTTTCACTAGCTTTCCCTCTTTCTTTTTTTTGTATTTGTGTTGCCTGCCTTTTTGTGATACGCTGCTGGCGCCGAGCCTGTTCTGGCCACAAATTGACATTTTTGCCGGCAACAGGAGGGAATGGGACACCTTTTTGACGATTTTGGCCCTCCGTTTTTAGATTTTTTTACGCCTCGCCACTTTTTGTAGTTCGCTGGCGGAATTTAATAAGCCAGAAATGCGACAGCCGAATTTGAAAAATCAGCCAGCGACTTTCCGTAATTAAAGTCGCGCTCGCTGGACTTTTTTTGGCGCTACACTCAGAGAAACGCAAGCTTAGACAAATATCCAATGTTGCAGGGTAGTGATATTCAAGATATTCATTTGCTTGTATTTTGAGATCAAACATTAAAGTATTTTTTACTTTGCAATTTAGCCAAAACTTGCATTCTAATTACACTTTGTAATACATCGTCAAGAAAATGAAATGTAAGTGGAGTTTATCCCAGTGCTATGTCGCATGGCGACCACGCCCCCTAGTCCCAACGCCCGGCTAATGACAAATGGTTGTCAGTTTGTCAGTTTGTCAGTTGGCCGCTGCAACAACTGCAGATAAAAAGAGAGCAGCGCTTTTTTGCACCTATTTTGGCAGGCCAAAGGGCAAACTGCGGACTTTTCCGGGGAGTGGGAGAAGTTTTTGAAATGAATTGGAACTAATGAATGAGGGAATGGGTGAATGAGTGAATGAGCTCGGGGCTTGCCAAACTGGCAGACTGGCAAACTGGCAGACTGGCAAACTGGCAGACTGGCGAACTGGTGAAGCGGCGGAGGCAGCAGCTGCTCGTTCGCCTGTGCAATTAACTGTGAAAATGCTGTCACAATATTTAAAAGTTTTAATTGTTTGTTCAATTGCAATTGCAATTTCAAACTGGCGCCAAACTTTGCGCTTTTGTTGTTTTAAACTTGTTCAGCGACTCTCGCTCTCTGATGTCGCCTCCTCCGGGTCCTCCTCCGCTCCTCCGCTCGACTTTTCTGTTCCTCGTCTTTTGAGGCGGGCAAAAAATAATTTAACATGAATATATCGCATTTCATGGAGTCATACATCACGAGGCCGTCGGAGGGCTAGGGGGCGTGGCCGGCCGGCGGGCAAGTGACAGCACTAACATAAACCACAATAATATCCAAAGTCATGAAGGAAGTAACCAAGTGTGAATTTTCGGTTTATGCCTTGCGAACCCAAGCGTTGAAGCGGCGCTGCTGCTGCTGCTGCTGTTTTCCCCCTTCCCGCCGCTTTTCCGCTTTCCCTCGGGCGGCGCTCGTCGGTGTGGCTTGCTCTCCTTCCTGTTCTCGGTGGGTCACATGGGCGGGCACCGGATTTATAGCTTCACTTGGCCACACTGGCGGAGTGGAGTTTCTGCAAAAATGCGGGGCTCTTGCTTAATAGCTTAAGCGCAGTGCACTTGCAGTATTCCAATTAACTCTTTACTACTTATTTGTGAGATGTATATAATATAATTCCTAGTACATCACCTTCTTTAAGCTTCATACTTTGTGTGGCCAGAAATTTAAATTAATTCATTTCAAAAGTTCCCAAAACAGCAGTCAAGTTAAGCTGCTCCATACCATGAAAACATATTATTTTTATCACATTATGGACGGACTTTCACAAATCAAGTGGATGCAACTTCGCAAATATGTTTGCCCAATATTACGGCTGTTGTTCTTATTTTAGAGACCACTTTCCAAGGCTGCGCACACTGGGCGTCCTGCGGTTAAGGCCCCTTTTTGCGGACTCCATCCTGGGTTCCTGTGCTCCTGCCCCCCAGCACAGCCCCCTCAGACGCCACTGACCGCTTGGCTGGGCACCCCATGCAGTTGTTTTATTTGCGCTTCCGTTTCGCGGACAGTTTGCTTTGCTGTTTTTACTTCATTTTTCTCGAGTTCCGCACGCCGTATCTAACCGTCTCTGTAGCTCCGTTTTTGGTGTTTTTGTTACTCGCATTTGTTTCTTGTTTTTTTCAGTTTGTTTCCTCCGCTTGCAACAGAAAAATGTTGCAACAAAACATTTACGACGTCATCGTTTCACAATTTTCGTGCTGCGAGCCCCCTTTTGCTCACTTTCGCGCTGTCCTAGAATCCGTGTTTTGTATTTGTGTGTTGTGTCTTGAAATGAAAATTGTTGTTGCCGCTCTCGTTCTTCGTGTTGTTGCACAAGGCCCGCCCACGCCACCACCGCCCCTCCTGCTGCTGCGGTAGAAAAAAAGTAAGAAAAAGAACAGTGGCAAAAAAGAGAGGCAAACCTTGTGTCATTTATCATGCATTTCCACTTTTGGCTTCCGTCGACCGGGACGTGGCCCGCACAGACAAATGTACGGGGACAGCCGGACGGACAAGCGGACAGACGAACGGACAACGGACAACGGACAAACGGACAATCAGACAACCGGACGGACAAACGGACAAACGGACAGCACCCGAGTCGAATTGCGGGTAGGAAAGGCACAAGCTCTTTAAAGCACTGAAACGGGGTTCTTAGGCTTTCCTATATGCAGGAAAACTTCTTAACCGTACCTACTAATGTTCTTAGATTTAATTTAAATAGAGGCTATCTTTTGGTGAACTGACTAAGTGAACTTTTATTGTTGCAATTAAAAGTATTACATTTTTAATGCTTTGAATCCGAAACAAATGAAATGAAATGAAAGCAAGGATATAACAAAGAGACATAATATCATATGTGGTTGATTCACTGATGCCAGATTGCAAATTAGCATGGTTGTTAACGTAATTAAACAAAGGGAGATCCATTGGGTTTTTATTATGGGAAGCCTACTCCTTTTTTCCGATTATTTCTGTCACTTTCCATCTAGCCAGTCATGCATATTTTGTGGGTCTGCAAAATGGGGAAAGGCAGCATTTTTCATTTGGTCATTCCCAAAAAAATTCCCTTTCATGCAGAAGGACAAAGATCTTTAAGCGGAATTCGAAATTAATCAAGACGAACGAACCCTAAATTCATTTCCTCCACGGCTGAGCAACATTTTCCGCTCGTGTCCCCCGAATAAATAGCCGAGTCATTTGTGAAATTTGAATATGGAAATGTTGCGAGTGGACGATGGCCAGGAGGGGAAAATTATGAAAAAGTTCTGGAAACTGTTTGATATTGAAAATAAAAAAATTCGAGGCCTCCCCTTTTTGTTTCACTCACTGGAGGGCAATTGATTAAGGGCGACGTGATGGTGATGGAGATGGTGATGGAGTGCCTGTTCCAGGTGGACTGACTGGAATGAGTTGACGATTTCCTAGGTCCTTGAAGAGTGCTGGGAAAGGAATTTCCCGCTTTCTTAAGAATTTTCTCCAGAACGCTGTGCAGTGAAATGATTTGTAATATTTTGAAGTAAAGAACAAACAGCTTTGCGCTCACGCTCGAAAGGAAAATTTAAATCCACAAATATTTTCCAAGTTTTTTGAAAATACTTCCAACTTATCGAGTGCTTTTTTCGTGGGGATTTTCTAGTCTGCAGCGTGGATTTTGTTTGCAGGCAGAGCAGCTGGCTCGATCATGTGGCATGTGGGTACTCGAGTCTCGACTTTTTCTGCCAGACAAATGCGACGCCATTTGGTCGCTCCCCATCTCCATCGCCATCTCCATTTGGCCATTTCTTTGCCCAAACTTTCCCATTTCTCTGCGACGCATCGGGACCGCAATGAACTTGAGCCAGCTGTCAATGTGATAAATAAACTTGGCTTGCAAAAAGGGTGCGGCCCCCTGGCTCTGCTGCAGCATATAAATAATAATCAGGCAACGGCTGTCCCAGGCGTCTAGGCACAGTGCGTTTCGCAAGTGTAAGGCTGCGCGGTACGTGGAATTTTAAAGAGACCACATGGGCTAAGTCCCACCAATTTCCCACCTATTTGTTGGCAAGAAAAAAATATACTTTGGTTGGGACTTAAACCAAGTCGCAGTCTAATTTCAATATAAATTTGGTGTTAAGCCGAATATACGAGTATGTACTGTAATCTGGTCGGCTAAATATATTTATAAGAATATTTTTTGTACCAAAAAGCAGAAAAAATTGCACCGAATACCAACTGGCACTGCAAACTCGTGATGCAGTTTTGATTGGTTACTTCGGACATATGCGCATGCAAGCAAACTGCTTTCCAACTTCTTTTAACTCTTGTGCGCAAGTTGGCCAACTGAAAAGTGTATTTTCCATCTTGTACTTTCAGCAACTTCTGATCCAAGGGCGTGGCATCGATGGCGAGCAACAGGATGCTGGCACTGCCTCTGCTGACTCTGGCGGTCCTCGCCAGCTGCGGCTACACCGTGGAGGCCTACTCCAGTACGTATACGTGATATTCCGGGTGGGGAGTTGGCTTTCGCGGACGCTATTGTATTTGCAATGTATTTTCCGGGAAAGCCAACGCCCCCCACTGGCATTTGTCGTGTTGTGTAATCAGTAATCCCGAGATGAGCACCGATCCGTTGGATCGGTGGTGAACCCTTTCATGCCTTCATCAACCCTTGCCCCACCATCATTGACATACTGAAGCCAGATGTGATATCCCCGATTTTGAGCAGGCTTATAATTTGTTTTTCTTTTTTCCGTATGATTTGAAACACCCACTCTGCTCCACAAAACACACACTGAAACCTGCAATCCGCAATCCGCCATCCGCAACCCGAAATCCGCAATCCGCAACCCGTAAATCGTAATCCGTAATCCGCAATCCGCAATCCGTAATCCCTGAACCTAATCGAATTTCCCGCGGGCGAAGAGTACGGCCGTGGATGCGGGGACATTGGCTGCCTGCCCACCGAGGAGTGCGTCATCACCAGCGACTCGTGCAGCTACAACCAGCGGGACGGCAAGGATTGCGGCAACTATCCCACCTGCAAGCGGCGCTCCGGCGGAGGATCATCCGCCTCGAACAGCAGCCCCAACTTGGCAGCCCCCTCGGCCAATCCGTCAGGTATTTAGCTTGGAATCCCCCACTTGATTACTCATTGTGCGCTTCCCTGGGGGAGTTGTCCAGGCGATTGGCATCGTGTTTCGTAGTTCGCAATTCGCAATTCGTAATTCGAGGTTTGGCGACCGGCGATTGGCGACCGCATCTTTTTGGTTCCTCAAAACGAGTTTTTGCGGGTTAATTGCAACGATTTGTGGCCAGAAGACGGGCTTTTCTGGGGCACAAGAACTGGCTTCGGGCGCCGAAGATTACAATAGCCTCGCGGAGTCGGGAAGGAGCATTTCCCTGAATATACAAGTAATTGGGAATTATAAGCCTTTTGCCAACATGATAATTATTACATTATCAAGTTTTCCCATTCTCTATCCGACCGTTGAGACTCTGCAAGGCTATTAGCTTTATTCCAAATTATCGAACTTTTTTTTGTTGGTTATTTTGTTTGGCCCCAACGTATTTGTTATGTTTTGTGATCGTTTTCATCTATATATATATATATCTATGCTATATAGCCGTATGTAACATGTTGTATGGCGATCTAACACCCACACCTACACACTGAGCGCTTCAATCACTGAGCTCAATCAATCTAACACTCAATCTGACCTCAATCAGTCAATCAACCAATCACTCGCTCGCTCGCTCGCTCATTCATCGCCTCATTCGCTCAAGGCTTGCAAATATTCGACTGCTAACCACCCACCACCCACCACCCACCTGCCCCCGCCCCTCCCCCTCTCCGCCGCTCGCCTCTGCATGTTTGAGGTTGCCACAGCACAGAGAGAAAAAAGGCATAACAACTCGACTCAAGTGGTAAAAACCACCTCATGGGTATCAAGTATTTACAAACTCAATGCAATTTTATGAAAGCTGCACAAATTTATGATTCCATTTTGCATATCAGTGTGCTGAAGGAACAGTCAAACTCCCACAATCTTGCAGCTCTAATGGAAATACTAAGAGCATAACTATAACAATTTATTAATGTTCATATCCTGAAATTAACTACTAACTTCTGAGGAACATCAGATAGCTCTAGTTTTTGCGGAAGTTTGACCGTTGTTTGGTCCACAGCTCAATGTGCATTTTCTCTGTGCTGATCGGAGAGGGGTGGAGGGGGAGCAGGCTGGGCGGGCTGGGCGGCTGGGACCATGCCCGAAACTAACGCTAACCAGAAAACCCGCTCTCTTCTCCCCGCGTGCCAACTGCTGCCACTAACCACTAACAGGATCGAGTCTGGGCCAGGGACCCGAGAACAACATCTTTGCACCCGCCTCATCGAACCCCACGCTTAACACCTACACGTACAACCATCAGCAGGGTGGCGGCGATAGCGGTGGCGAAGGCCACGGCCACGGAAACGGAAACGGAAATGGCAACGCCGGAAACGGAAACGATCGCGACAAGGGCGGAAACGCGGGGGCGGCGGGCGCCTCCTCGACGGGCGTGATAGATCCGCACTACGTGTTCGGGGCCAAGCACCACATGCCCGTCATACCGAACATGCCCATCTTCCCGTACAACTCGCCCACGTCGGCGCCTCCGTTCCAGCAGTTCCCTCAACCCAACCATCCAGGCAGCGTACTCAATCCCGGCTACCCCATGCACGGCCTGCAGCCGGTGAACCCGTACAATCCGCCCTTCATCTTTGGCCAGCTGCCGTTCTATGGCGGCGGCGGACCGACCGGCACCGGCGGTCCGCCCGGCGGCGTTGGAGGCGGCGGCAATGGCGGCGTCGGCGGCGGCGTCGGCCTGCCCAGCTCGACGCTGGGCATCCTCGGCGGCGGCGGCGGCGGCCTGGCGCCCTACGGCAGCAACTACCAGGGCTATCAGGGCTACCAGAGCCAGCACTCCAACGCAAACATGTACAACAAGCCGCCGCCGCAGTACCAGAACCAGAACCAACAGAACCCCTACAACCGGCGCACCCAGGCGCATCCCTCGGCAGCCGGCAGTCTGGGCGGACTGGGGATGCCCGTCCTGCTCCTGGCGCTCGTCCTGGCCCTCCTGCCGCACACGTAATAAGCTGGGCGGCACCAGCGGAATAGCGGCACCAGAGCACGACTCCCGACGACCCCGGCAAATTAACCCTTCCCATATGTTCGGGATAACCTTCATGGAATGAGCCCATTTTCACTGTATTGCATTGCTCCACTAACAAGAGATCACTTTCAAAGGTTCAACGGATTCCTAGATATCCTAGATATTCCGAAAAACACTGCTTTTATTAGGCATTTAGAAATGCCGAAGCAGTAAATTTCAAATTTTCAAGCCAAGTGCTCAGTAAAAATGGGCGCTCGCCTGAACGTTATGCTCTACTTATGTCCTACTTATTATTTTCCACCTTATTGTCCTTATTTTCCTTGGTACTTGTTTGACCTTATGTTTTGGCTTAGGCTTAAGAAAAATGTAAAAGCAGTAGCAGCAGCAGTCAGCTGGGCATTTTCAAAACTGTACGACCTCAAAGTTGGTCGCTTATTTATTTAGGAACACGAACTCGAAGCAATTGCAGTTTTGCCCGCAGCTTTTGGTGCTGCGTATACGTAACTTCAAGGACCTCAGCTCACTAGGTACTTAATTGTTGTTTTTTCCCGACCAGTCCGAGGCGACTGTAGCTCTATTTGTTCCATGAGAAAATACACTTTTGCTGGGCAACTTGCATCTCCCACATAGTGGTAAATATTTCGTAGCTTTCGCTACAATTCAAAGGTTGTATTTTAATTACACTGTAAGCTGTAAGCCGTTGCCACCCCCCGTTTACCCCTCGTTCTACGTATTTTGGCACTTTTTCTCGGCAGCCCTTCCTGTCTCGCCCACACTGCGAATACTTAATTTCAATTTAATATTGTAGAAGAGCGTGTGTGTGTGTGTGTGCGCATTCGTGTGAGTTCATTGGTATGTGTGCGAATTTTCGGCCATCAGTCAAGGGGAACTGCCGCCCCTGGGAGCCGCTCTTTTTTGCAGCTCAATTAAATTGGAATTTAATTTCGGGCTTAGACAGCCAGCCTCTGGTCAGCGGGGGCGTGGCAAGTCTGACCGCCACACACGGACACACACACTCACACACACACACACACATAGACGGCACGGTTGGGTAACTTTGATGTTAATTTCATTTTTGTTGATGCTACGAATTTGCGGCCAGACACTGGCGGATCCAGGGCTTTCGATGATGCCACTGCAACTGGCGCTGCTGCTGCAGTCACAAATACAGCTACAGATACAGATACAGATACAGATACAGATACTTAGACGGATAGTGTTGTAGATACAAGATACGCATGTCAATCAAAATGCATAATGAGCTACATTCGAGAGCAGAGCACCAAGTGCGCTGCGTGCAACCAGAAGCGATTGTTTTTTTTATACGATTACGAATATGAATAAATAACCACTGAAGCAAGTTGAATGGCATTTTAAAAGACAAACGAACAAGAATTAAGCTAGCCTAAGGTGTTCAAAACTAATCTGAAGTAAAAACTCAAAACTAAATGCAGAAACTAGGTTTTAAGTGCTGCTGATTCGCGAAACGAATCAAATGAAATCAAACAATGTCGCAGAAGGCATTTACATTACTAACAAACTGCCAGAAAGACAAATACATATACCAAATCGAAGCCAAACAGCAAAATCAAAACAGAAACAAAGAGACAAACACAAATTGTTAAGTATTTCAAACACCCAGGTTAGGCACACAAGTCCCAGAGATTCAAAACATAACGATTTTGTCGCTGTAAATTCCGGATAAAAAGCACTCATGTCGAGCATATTTACTCCGTCCGTTTGTATTTGTATTTGCACACACTTGATTTGGGCCACCAACTAATGCTGACTTCATTTGCGATCTCTGAACCGGAACCATGTAAACACTACGACCAGTATTAACCAAACCGAAGTCATTCTATCGATGTAAGATGCAACCCGCTACCACTACCACTACCACTACCCACGTCAGTAGCACACACAATCCTACCCACATACTCATACACGGCGAGGAAATGGCGGAGCAAACAATAAGTATTCGAGTATTTACTAATCAAAACCACAGACTACAGAGTTGTACATAGCATTAAATACACGGATACGGATATATTTAATATGTAATACTGAAGCGAAGACTTAACTAGACTAAGTTCGGGCGACAAAAACTCAAAGTTGTGTAGACTTAAAGCGGCATGGTAATTAATCAATCGCGTAGGCTAAGTCCATTGATTGTAACCCGAGCGACCCATTGATTGTTTTAATATTTTCGTTGTTTACCCGCCTAATTTGTGTTGTTTACGTTTTTGTGTTCTATCTTATCTCCCCTTATGCTTTCGATTCGGTTCGAATCCCCCGCTTTTGTGGCTAACCCAACTGCTTGCGCACTGCTTTGCCGACTGACCCAGAGGTGAGCCATAACGCATACGCCCCGAATGCCCCGAGTGCCCCGTTGCCGGAAGCGGATGCGAGCGGTGGTGCTGGCTACGGTGGTGCTGCGGGCGGTGGTGGTGGCGGTGGTGGAAGCGGCGGATATGGTGGAGGCTTCTCGGCTGGCGGCCACTCCCTGTACCCCAGCCTACCCAACTCCAATGGCGGCGGAGGAGGCGGCGGTGCGGCGCCCTACAACCCATACGTCGGCGGTGGCGGTGGCGGTGGCGGCAACGGTGGATACGGCGGCTACAATCCCTACAACGGCGGCTACCAGCCACCAGCTTCGGGCGGCTATCAACCCCAAGCTCCCGGCGGATACCAACCCAGACCTGGCTACACGCCACCCGCCCCGGGCTACGAGAACAATGGTGGCGGTGGTGCTCAGAAGCCCAAGGACAAGCAGGGCGGCTTCTTCTCCAACTTCTTCTCGAATCCGGCGGTGAGTCAAGCGGTGTCCGGTATCATTGCAGGCCAGATAGCCAAGCAACTGCAGGGCGGCGGAGCCGGAGGAGCCGGCGGTGGCCAGCAGCCTGGTGGCTACCAGCCGAGCGGTGGCTATGGCGGCGGACCGGCAGCAGGAGGTGGCGGCGGCGGCGGCGGCGGATCCGGTGGCAGCAACATCCTTGGAGGCCTCCTGGGATCCGTGCTAACCGGCGGTGGTGGCAACGCAGGCGCTGGCGGCGGTGGTGCTAGCAGCTTCCTGGGCAGCCTGCTCAGTGGCGGAAACTCCAACAGAGGTGCTCAGCAAGGAGGCGGAGGCTCTGGAGGACTGGGCGACATCTTCAGCTCGAAGAACTTCGGCGGCCTCTTCAGCGAGAATCCCTCGTCCAGGGGCGGCGGCTCCTCCTCCGCCGACGGAGCACCCAAGGGCTATCCCACCCAGGCACCGGGCAACTACTACGGCTAAGCTGTTACGGCTGAGGTAGTGCAGCTACCACGTGGAGATCGACTTTAGGGTCTCCTTTAAGACAGTCTTTTTTTCGTCCCTCGGCAATGTAATCAAATGGAGAACTTTCAACGAAATTAACTGAAATATATAAGCATATTATACGAAACTATTAATGACGATATACAAATACAATACATATATACAAGCATATATACTCGATAATTGAGAAACAGCCACATGTAATTTGAGATACCGTGCGCGCAGAATCCCCAGAAAACCACAGATCCCAATTCGGAGTTCATTTGTAAATAGAAAAGTAACTGATATTGAATTTGAACAAGATAATATACGTAAGAATTGAAAGCCAGTTCATTGCGTTTTCATTGTGATTGGTTGGTTTGAAAGTGAGCCAAAATGTTCACCTTCGAGTTGGTAAGTTGATTCAGGTGCTCGTGGGGATAATATCAAAGATATCCCTTGCTTTTTGATTTATTTTTAACACAACTATTTTATTATGAAAAGTTCAAACAGGCGTAACGAAGAATCCCTCCAATTTGTTAGGAAGTGCAAAAAATGTATCAAACTTGAATAACAAAATGTAACGACTTGCAAGATTTGCTCAGCTGGGCAAAATTATGTTTGAAATAGCAGCTTAGGCTTAAAATAATTGTAAAGTTTGCACATTTAAGGGGCATATGTTAAGTAGTCTATAAATTCGTACAAATTCGTGTCCAAAAATCTCGCAAGAAAAGGTAAAATATAGCTGATATTGACGTGTTCCAATACCCGAGTCAACCTCCATAAAATAGCAGTGAGTGGTTCCAGCCACAACACAAGTTGGCCAGAAGCATATGTGTGTATCCGGAGGTTTCCAAGCAAATGGAAAGTGTAAATGGCTTTGGGAAAAATCCGCAAAAATAACAGAGATCCTTAATCAACGCGATCATAACTTTTTAAGAGGCTGTTGACTGAAGGCAACCGGATTTGCAGCCCAGAAAGTTGGCCGAGTTGGCAAAGTTTCGCATTCGGGCGGCACTCGAAATGCGCAGCGTTTCCGTTGCAGTTTCACCTGTCCTGAACCGTCCCATTCCCAATCCCGTCCCGCCTGGGCCTCCGCGTGGCCACACACTCGGCAGCTCTGCACTTGGCAGTTGGAAGTTGGCCGAAGGAGCGGGAGGAGCTGGAGGAGCTGGAGGAGCTGGAGGGGGAGCCATTGCCGCTCTGGCAAACATTTTGTTGCCTTTGTTGGCCGGAATGTTGCTGCTGCACTGCAACAATATATTATGCGCTAAGCTCCTCAACTATGCAGCCGGCGGATGGGTGGCCATTTGGCTTCGGCTTGGCTATGGCGGCTATGGCTTTGGCTTTGGCTTTGGCTCTGGTTAACCGACTACCGTTTTGTAATTTATTTAAGTAATAAAATAAATATACGTACGTTATATGGTACGTACGTTGCGCACCTGGCCGTCTGAATTGCCCTCTGCTCGGGCTGCTGCTCCATGGATGTGGGTGTGGATGTGGATGTGGGCGTGGGCGTGGATGTTGCTGCGTGGCTGCCGCTCCATGGATGTGGATATGGATGCGAGCCGACGGTGGGTTTGTTGTCAGGCGAAAGTGCGCTTCAAGTGCACCAAGCACCCACTTGGCCAAAGTGAATTTAGTGTCAAGTGCAGGAAAATGTGAAAAGCAGCTGCGAGTTAGTTTTTCATATTTAAGCAGCACTTCACCCAGCAGCAGCAACAACAACAACAAGGCGGCAACAACAACAACTCACACTGGTCGCTTGTCTATGCAAAATGGATTACTTTTCGCCTTGGGAGGTTTGTATTTCGTGTGCCCATTAGCCAGACAATTTCTTTCGGGATCGAGGAGGCAGGAGCCACTTTTTTCGACTGGCCCAATCTAAGTTGGCCATAATTACGAACGGCTTATACGAAGGCTTTTACTCAGCTTACAAGTATTCTGCTCAAAATAAGTTTTGCCTACTTATAAGCGACTTCTTTTATAAGGCAAGTGAATTCCCCCACCTACACCAGTTACTAATGAAAGTTTAGTGACGATCGCACGAGGAAAAATGATTTCACAGTTGACCTAATCAGTCTGGGTCAGCAATCATTCAGTTTTCCATTTTTTCGTGTACGCATGTGTAAAAACCTTTTTCGCACACCCGCCCGGTGCGATTCGTCACTACGTGCGACGGCGTGTGAGGTTTTTTTGTACTATAATTTGAAAGCTTCAAGTAGGCTACGTATGGAGCGTTATTTAATGAACTTCGTAGTCCAGCCTTACTTCCCATCACATTTGTTTCAAGCTCCATCGTAGCTGAGAAAAGTCGTGTGTCGTTGCGTAACAAATTCAGTTTGGAGTTTTCAATTTCGGCCAGATATAGGAGTAATTGAACTGAAAGACTATAGAAATGGAAGAGTACTCGCGCGAGCCGTGTCCCTTTCGCATCGTCGACGACTGTGGCGGGGCCTTCACCATGGGCTGCCTCGGAGGCGGACTCTTCCAGGGGCTGAAGGGATTCCGGAATGCGCCGCAAGGGTTTGGACGCCGGTTCGCCGGCGGACTGGCCGCCCTGAAGGCCAGATCGCCGACCATTGGCGGGAACTTCGCCGCCTGGGGCTGCGTCTTCAGCATCGTCGACTGCAGCCTGGTGCATCTGCGCAAGAAGGAGGATCCGTGGAACTCGATCATGAGCGGGGCGATCGCAGGTGGCATCCTGTCCTCCCGGAACGGAGTGGGCGCCATGTTCGGAAGCGCCATCATCGGCGGACTTCTGCTTTCCATGATCGAGGGCGTGGGTATTCTCTTCACCCGCACCTCCGCCGAGCAGTTCCGCAATCCCGATCCCCATGCCGACCTGGCAGCAGCCTCATTCGAATCCGGATCTGGAGCGGGAGCGGGAGCGGGCGAAATGAATTCTGCACCGGGCTTTGGATACCCCGTCGCCAAGCAGGCCAACGCAACAAACTAAATTCTTGCCGGAACTGCCACGAATAATTTTAATTGCATTCGCCTTTTGCATTCGCCCGATTACGTTGCGTGCCTCCAACTGCTCATAAAAATCCAAATTTCAAGCCTAATATATTTCGTATATTCAGGCTACATCCAAAGCAGCTGTCTTTCATTTTCTGCCTCTCGAGTTTTGTGCTACCTCTAAGCTGAGTGCAACTGTTGCACAAATTATGTGAACCTGTCCCACTGTGCACCACCCAGAAGCAGCATGTGGGCGACAGATCGAGGACCAGGACTTTTGCTTCGGGGCAAGGATTTCAGCTGGCAGCTCCTTCAGGCCAAAACAATGACGCGCCGCATTTAGAAGCCTTTCGCTCTCGCTGCCTCCCCGCACCGCAACCCCGTGCTGCCACACGAGCAGCCGAGCACCCGAACATCCTGCAACCGCCAACCCAACCCAACCCAACTCAGCCCATTCCTGCCTCACGGTGCTCGTTCCGCTGCGGATGTCGTTGACTTTTCAAGTCGCATTAGAAGCGACACGGCGGCGGCGTCATCGCGGCGGTTGGGCGGTTGGGCGGGTGTTGGGTTGGGTGGGGCATAAAAATACATGTAAGAGGCTTTCAGCTTATTGTTTGGCACTGTCGCGTTTTTATGATTGCACGCAAGGCTCTCTGGCCATCCTCCCTCCGCCTCCAACTCCGCTGTCGTCTGGCTTTGGGCCCTTGTCTCGGCTTAATTTTATTGATATTACACGTACTTGAAGTCGACGACCAGGTCGAAAACAGCCATGCCCATGCCCATTCCCATGCCCATTTCCATTTCCACTCGCATTCCCATCGTCTGGCTATTAATTTTTACGGCTTTCGACTTACGGCTGCCTCGCATAAGCGCCGGTAGATGGCGCTGCGCAGTTGATCAATCTTTTATATCTATTGGCACTTACTTGCCGCGATGTATTACACATTTATGCCTCACCCTGCTTGTGCAAATCCAATTACGTTTTCATAATCAGGGATCAGGAGCTGCAAGTGTTTCCACTTTACTCACTTTTTGAGGCACTCGCGGGCAAAAAATATGTGTATACACGTTTACTGCGCATTTTTATGGGCAGTTTGGTATGAACATCTTTTCATTTCGAAACTTCGATACAGAATACAATGCAACAATGCGTGGTCATCCAACTTGGGGCAACTTTTAAAGATTCCTGCAACTTTTCTCCAGTAATTACTAACAAAATCTTAATGAAATTCTTTCGGCCACATATTTCTCGCTGGTATTTTCCCGATTGGCTCCTTCATTTTGTATTCTAACAACAAATATTCCTAACATGTGTATTATGTAGTTGTTGCTGCTGCTCTTATTGTTGTGGCGCAATAAAAATGCTACAACTTAATTAATTAAGTGCAAATGATAAAAATGACCAAACAGCACGGAACACACACACTCACACACACACAAACGCACACTCGCCAAACAGAGAGAGAAAAAACTAATTAAGTTTTATGTGCAATTTTCGTGGCTGAAAAGTTTCGTTTGTGTGGCAATTGTGTGGTGGCCGAAAGGGGGCGTGTGGCAAGAGGGGCGTGGCTGGGGCACAGAGCGCCACGTTACGTTGCCGTCACGTACTGTTATTTATTTTGATAGTTTGTTGTAGTTGCAGCGCCCCACATTCGCCCCCATTCTCTAACTTCCCCTGGCTTCCTCCACTGCTCCACGTTTTTCCATCTCTTTTGGCGGGAAATCTGTGCGCTGACATTTGCCGCGATTAATGGAAGTTAAGCTTTGTCCGAGTCTTTAATTTGTGGCCATTAGAGGGCGGCCAACACCAACATGGAACCACATATACGAGTATACACACATAGAGAATAGAATAGAAGCAATTTATTCATATTTCGTATATCTAACTTATTTACCTTGGCTAAGAGTGGATTGCACTCCCTAGAAAAGCAATGTTATCGTAAATAGCGAAGCAGTTAATTTAAAGGAACATGTTGGTGTTGCAGCAGAAGTGACCCCCCGTTTTTTCAGTGTGACGAGCACTGCAGCGCAAATCCAATTGGCGGCTACTCCAGTTGCGAAAAATTGCATTGCCTACTTATGTGGGCAGCAGCAGAGATCTCGTTGCCAAATTGAGCAGCGCATTACGGCGCGTGGGTGGTTTTCCCGGGTGGCTTTTCCAGCGGCAGTGCTGGGAAAACACATGCCTGCCCCAACGCTTGTTTACATGCGTTTGGCGCACTCGCCAGATAAATCAGCAGCAACATCGCTGCAGCAACATCACAACAGCAGCAGCAGCAGCAACAACTACTGCAGCTGCAACATCAACAGACTGGCTCTGATTTAGTCAACGCTGATTGTTGGAGTAAGAACTGCAACCACGACATGGGTAAATTTGCCAAACAAACTGTTCCATTTTCCCACTCGCAGTTTTTCCATTTTCCTCACAGGTGTGGTTGGCCTAATAGTGGCAGTGAAATGTTTTCGGAAACTGCACAAATAAATGTCGCGACTTATTCCGAATAAAAACGTTTGCTGGTCGTGGGAAATTTAAGAAGCGCCTTTAAATATTTTCGAGCAAGCTCGAAAAACTTACCAACTGGATTAAGAGTTGCTAATATAATTACAAGCAAAGTGCATATAAAACTGAGTTTTAGGCGTGCCTACCTGTATATATATTTTTATGCAATTCCAGGCCATTAAAGGAAAAGCACTGAAGATTCGTAGGTCTGCATCTCAAACTCTGTGCTCCTGGAGTACTAACTTGGCAAACCCTGATGCGCTCCATTATTATCCTGCCCCAGCTGTGTGTGCATCCAGAGTCTCCGATTGCAGCTCGAATTTAGTTGCATTCAAAGCCCACTAGCAACATTGAGAAGTTGTTGAAAAATATTTGTCCTCTGCCATGCAACTCGGCAAGTTGCCTGCCCCGCACCCCCGCTGAAAACTTTCGACTTCAGTACACAACTTACCTCAACTTCTGCTGCGGCACAAAAAATTTGTTAACTTGGCCGAAAGGAGGGCGAAAGGACGAAAACTTTTGCATTCGCCTGCAGCTGAAGTTGGCCGGAGAGTAATTGAGGCACTCGAGGGCGAAAGGAGCCGAGTCCGAATCTCGCAAATCGTCCGTTTTTGCAGGTGATAAATTTTGAAAGGCGTTTTAATTGATTTCGACAAATGAAAGGAAACGAAATGAAATGAAATGAAATGAAATTCGGCAGCGCAGGAGGTGTGAGCCACATCAAATATTAAACGTTCTGCCATTTGAATTATCAAATTTCGCCTGCGCCTTGCCTGCATGTGAGTTTCAATTAAAAATTTACTTATTTGCTCGACAAAGTTTTTGTGTGGCATTTAGCAGCCCGACTATGAATGGGGCGGAGCGGGGGCGGAGCGGGGCGTGGCACGGCATCGGGCCGAAACTCAAATACCGAAATGCGCAAATACAAAACGACAGACAAATGAAGACGGAGATGCAGATGCCACTGGCGATGGAATGGGAATGAATAAATTTCCGAGCAGTTGAAATGTTGAACCAAGCGAAGTTTCTGCTTTGTTTTGGCGCCTCAGCGCAAGAAGCGCACAAAATGAGCAGGCTACAGATGGACACTGAGAGAAAGTCGCAGTGAAAGGAAGAGAAATGCGATTTTGCTGACTCCAAGCAATTCGCTCAAGAGTGCGCCCACTTGGCCCAGTATTTCTCCCAGTGCACTCGCATCCGAAAGATGCAATAGTTGGGAGCGACTGCAGCCGCATGCGGCTTGTGGTGGCATCTTACTTGCTGTACACTTTGTGGACATCGGCGGGCGGCATTGGAGTGGCAACAGGGGAGGGGCTGGGAGTGGAAAGGGGCGCAGGACCTCCGCTGTTCAAGTTGTGCGGCAAAAGCCACAGAAATAAGAAACGACGACAAAGTACGGCCCTCTTGTCGGCCGCCTCTGTGCGAAAAATTAGAACCGCAAATCATTTTGAAAACAATGCATATGCCATGTCATGTATAAGTGGGCGGCGCGGGCGGCGCGGGCGGAAAACGCAGAGACTTTTCCGGGGCGTTTCCAGGAAGCTGCACAAAATCCTCATCTATCTGGGAAAACAGCCACAAAACAAGTCGGATATCCGAGATTCTCCCCATGCTAATTAGTCGGGCTGTGGTTTTTAATTGGGATTAGCATTTTGCCATTCGAAGGAGCAACTTTCAACTGCTTCAGGAATAATCGCGGGAAACGCTCATTAGGCCAGCCAGTCGCAAATGATTCGCTCTGTTAAAGGCGATTCAATTAATTCCATATTCGGAAATGTGCTACATTTAAAAAAATGTAATTGTAATGTAAGTATAGCTTGAACATAAAAGGGATTACATTTAAATTGTTTTTTCCACAACTGATCAAGGAAGAAATACATGTTGAGTATCCTTTGGGTTGTCAGCTTTCCCAGTCTGGCAATCCTGCGCTAATAATATTCGATTCGGCCACAAAAGAGTGATTAGAAACATGAGCATGTGGCCGAGAAAAGCCGCAAAGAGCTTCTAAGCCAACTCAGCGGAGGCAGCGGCTCCGGTTTCGCTTTGGGATTAGGATTAGGTGTGGCAGTGGGCTTGGGTTCGGGTTCGGGTTCGGGTTTGGTCTAGGCCATGTTAATGTGGGCTCAGACACGCCTAGCACCCTTTTGCTAAGTCGGCCCCTTTCTTTTGTGCCGCTCGAGCCCGCTGGCTTTTTCTTCACCCCACTTGCAATTTAATATTAATTTTTTGAAAAGCCCATTTACATTTTGCGTTTGCCCTTTACGTTTTTGTCCTGCCACTTCAGCTGCTTCTCCCAGTCCATCGTCAACTCCAACTGCAACTCCAACTCCAACTCCAGCTCCAAGTCCTTCCCCACATTCTGTGTCTGCTTCTGTTGCCAGGCATGTGTGTTGTGTTGCACTTTCTTTTCTCGACCCCATTTCCCCGTCCCCAAGGACCCACTGCTCAACACGGCGTATGCGTAATCTAAGCAGAGCAGAGCTCTCCACTTTTCAGTTTCCATTTTCTGCCAGTGCCTTTTGTTTGTCTTAATTCAACCGCAAAGGCACAAGGATGCGGGATGTTGGGATGCTGGGAGGCTGGGCTGTTGGGATACTTGGACAGGGATTTGCGTCCGTTGACCACTTGAAAAGATTTTTAACCCGCTGCCTGCTGCTGTCCCCGTTTTGGACCCTTCCCCACCACCCACCAGCACTCCACTGTGACTGTGGGTCGGGAAACCTGCTGCAGCTGTTGATTTATACGCACTGGACCATGTCAATGTCGATGCTGAGCGCCCCGAGGGAAGCAATCATCGCCGGGTGCCATAACCAGATGCCCATGGAGTCCCTACACGGCGAGAAAATCGTTGTGTAGCGAGAGGATTTCAGGGAAGGCAACGAATGCTAGCCTGGCTTGAGTCAGAAATGTAATAAACTATTTGCCAATACTTTCTAGCCGTGTAAGCCCGAACCCAATCCTAGCCAGCTGTGGCTTTCCGTTTGGTTGGCTTTCGGCTGCTTGGGTCTGGCAAACAAGGAGCGATCCCACTAAGCAGCCACAATTAGCCGATGGGAAATTGTTTTTGGGCGGCCGAGATAGTTATTGAAATACTTATGGACAGTTAAATGTTTAATCAATGTGCTGCCAAACGAGTGTGTGATAATTGGGGCGTGGCAGGGTGTGCGGCAAGTATTTGGCCGCTGGCCACAAAACCGGTTTTACTGCCGACCAGCGAAATTGCAATTGAAATGCAAATATTAATTACAATCAGCTGGGCAGCCAGGTGCAATCGAGCACTTGCTGGCCCAAAGGCGCGCCGTTCGGGCCCAACTGGTCGAGCGACCCTCGCACTTGCGCCTCATGAACCGTTCACGCAACGTGTCGCGTTGTAAATAGAATTTGTGCATAATAAAATTATGCATTCATAAAGCAGCTGCATTCGGAGTGCCGAACATGGCCATAAAACACTCGCTGAATGCAATTTTCGCCACCACCACCACCGTCGCCACCGCCGCCCCTTGGCGCTCCTCCTCTGATCTTCCGCATTTAGTTCTGCCCCCTATGCACACAATGCAGTGCCATGGAAACCGGTGGAACGTCTGTCTGACACTGCTCCGCTGCCGCGCCATTCAAGCCGGAGTAGCGGAGACTCCTAGTCCTTTTGAAACGTGGCGTCATCGACCGTGAGTCCATTTGGCCGAGCCCAGGAGCGACCCCCTGGTGGCTTCCAAAGAGGAACCGCATATGCCTTTGGAATTGAATGGAAATGATTATCATCATCATCATACTCGTCCTCATCTTCTCCTGGCCCAATGCTCCACTGCACTATGGCAACAGCCACGAAGAAGGGCTTTAACTCCACCGGACCGACTTCGGACTACCTGCCAAGTCCTGATGCAGTTTTGCTGGGCCAGAGGCGCCAGTTCCCAGAAAGTCTTCAAAATAATAAATGAATTAACAGCGCACTGTGTTCCTTTTCCTTTGGCAGAGATCCTTTTAAGCCAGTGCATCTAGATGGGCTATCGGAATGGAGGCTTTAAGGGCCTTTAAAGTATGCGTAGGGACTGCGTATATCCTGCCCTCCCGACTGCCGTATCCTGGCTGTCCAGCATTCCCGACTAATTCCACAACTCTGTGGATGACGATGTCAGCCTAGTCAGGCCCGCTTTCGGAACGGGTCCAGTGCCGTTTCCTTGAAGCTCCGAGGAGATTTTGGACGGGGCGACGTCCATAAACGGATTTTAATGCGTGAACCCGCCCCCTGTTCCCACCGCCCAACGCCTACTTATGCCTGCCCATCGCCGGGCAGTTAAGCCGCTTACGGAAATTCTGCTCCCGCTCCCCGGATTTCCTTTAACGGTGCACTAAGCAAAATATTTAACCCACTCGCAGTACTAAGCCATCTAGTTCGAAGCAGCTTTTGACTTTTACACTTTTCTAACTTAACTTTTGTCGAGCTGGAAATCGAAATGCACACGGGTTTCTCCCAGTGTACGATGCTGCCGCCCCTCCGCGGCGCTTTCTGAGCTTTGTCGAGGCAAAAGTCCATTCTGTCACGTTTTATATTGATATTTAAAAAAACAACATGAGAGGCGGTGGGCGGAAAAGCGGAAAGGCAGACCGCCGCGGCAACAACTAACAACTAAACAAAATGGCAAAACAAATTTCTGCGCGTTTTGCTCCGCTCAGCACGTAGGCAGGGGCGTGGAAAAGGGGTTGCACGATGGCTTTTCACGTGGCAGCCACGTAGCAAATGGCAGCGGCGGACGGAAATTGCAATTGAGTGCAAATTGCAAGAAGAAAAGGGCCTCGTCCTCGTCCTCTCCACTCCACTCCGCTCCACTCCGCTCCTATTGCCCAATTTTCACCCACTTCCTGTCGCCGTTTTCCTTCGACCCCGCCACCTCCAGCGCCACCCACTTTCTCCTTCGATTTTCGCGTACTTCCTGCCGAGAGCCCAATACATTTTTAATGCCCCACTGGCCCGCAGTGATTCCCGAGCCGCACACACTCGGCTAATGAATAAATCTGGCCATCTTGAGCCGTTGGCCTGGGCGGGCGGCTTTAATGATTAACCACCGGCAAGGCTGCGTTGCATCCACCGCCGTCCATGCGCCTTCCCCCACTCCAGCCCTCGATCCCCTCCATCCGCTCCATCCGCTCCGTCCACATCATGCTCCGTTGGTGGGTCGCATGTTTGCTTGCTCTCGGCGCCTTTAACTTCATCGTCCTTTGTCACGTCCTGGTGCGATTTTTATCGCCCGCGAGCTGCGCGGAAAACAAGAGGCTTTAATTAATTTCCACGCCGGAAATCAAACGATTTTCATGTCTTTCGCTCGGTGTAAGAGCCTAGTGCTCACTAGACTTGAGCCAAATATCAATAATATTTAAGTGAAATAAAACAAGGATTCATTTCAGTGTACTGTGTGTGTGTCATTTAATTAACAATTTAAGGCACTGCGTTTGCGTGTGTGAGTACTCGTAGGTATGCAAAAATATGGAAACAATGTGTGTGTAATTTAATTTAAATACTTAAGGCGTATTTGTGGTACGTGAAAATTGAACAGAGGTGTGCCCATTTACAACATCTCTACATCGTAGATCTGCACTTGGGTTCGCCAGTACTCGTACTCGAAGTAGAGCTCCCTCAGTGCATCCACCTCCATCTTCCAGCGCTCAATGAGGCCCAGTTTGACCTCAAAGCCCATCCCCTCCAGCTTGGCAACGATCGCCAGCACGGATTGCTTTGCCTTGAGCAGAAAGTAGGCTCTGGAGAAGGGATTCAGATGTTCGATGAAGGCGCGGAGCCTTGGAATGGCGTACGCCGTACAGAAGGCTGAAGTGGGCATGGTATTTCTCATGGTCTAAATAGTGGCCAAGAAATAGTGGGTTGCTTACCAATTCTGATCAGCAAGAAGGCGTCCAGGTGCATGCAGATGGAGTGCACCACCTCCAGGGCAATGGTGATCAGCAGCAGCTCAAACAACTCGGTTCCAAAGAAGAAGAACTGCAGCGTGACCACCCAGCGGTTGATGTAGTTGACCAGGCGGACAGCCGTTTCCGGGGTCAAGCTCAAATCGACATCGACGTTGATCAGCCTCTCGTAGGGCCGGAATCGCAGGTACGGCCGCAAGGATGTGTAGCCCGCCACGTGGAGCAGGATGCCTGTGCCGAATATCGCCAGCTGTTGGATCAGATTGAAGCCTTGGAGCGCCTCGAGGATGTCGACGACCAGGAGGCCCAAGCCCAAAAAGACGGAGCTCAGCCTGTGGCGCGAGAGCAAGTCGAACAGAATCCAGGGCCAGGTGAGCGCTGTAATCATCTGGTAGATCTCGAGGAGCGTGAATCTCTGTGGGCGAGCAGCCGGGGCATCCACCACCACAGCCGGCCTGTTGGCTATGGCATTGGGCACCACCACCTGCTGTTCATTCAAGGCTACGTCGATGGGAGTTTCTGTTTTGGCCATTTTTGGACTTTACTTTGGAACAGCCAATGGAATTCTTTCTTTTTCTTTGGGATAAATTGTACAAAACAAAGGGGAACTTTCGATGTCGATGTGGAGCCGACGGAGCTCTGGACTATACTGACTGGAACTGGGAGCAGTCGTAGGGCCTGAATGATGTTGTACGGAGTGTCATCGCCTGGCCTATTGGGAGCTTAGATTGTACTACACGTGTTTCACACAAAATACGGCCTTTAAACAGGTTGCTTCAAGCAGTGCATCCACCATTGGGCACTAAACAGACTCCCCACTTTTGGTAACTGAAATCCTGGTGCTTTTCCCACCAAGCGTAAGGCTGGCCAACTAATTTATTCATGGCCCTGTGGAGACGAGGCTTATCCCCCATCAAGGAATCTCTGCTCCGCTTTTCGACGCCCAAATATTTCTAAATATTTGCTCAGTTCGAGCGAACAAAGGACCTACGAGCACAAAGGACACGCTGCGTATACGTAATAAATAAATAAAATCCCATGCGATTGGATTGCGTTGAAACGAGTGGCGGGTGGCGGGTGGCGGGTGGGGGCGTGGCAGTGCGAAATTGTAAAATTCCAGTCCGCAGCTAAATGGAAATAGTAAATTGGAAATGGGCATCGCTGTTGCCGCTAATGAAATGCGATAAAATGAACCGAAATCGAACCGAAATAAAGCCGACATTCAAAGGCCACCGATCCATTGCAAACATTTTGTGCGGAAATTAGTGCAACTTTTTGTTGCCCAAAAGCGGAGTGGGATGTTGGGGGCGTGGCGATTGCCTTTCCCTGGCTAATTTCCAGTGCCAGCGCGAAATGTAAATCAAAACTGCAGCTCCAAGTGGCTCACTAATTAGATTAACTTGGAGCAGCGGCGAAAAACCGACGCACACACAGTGAGTCGCAAAAAGCTGTTGATGGCAAATGCGTACACTGAGATAAAATGGGGTGCAGAAGCTGAGAGCCAAATTGCTGGTAGCAAAAGAATTGCACGACTGCTTGTTTAGATGGGAAAACAGACTGCCTATAGAATAATTATTGCACATTTTTTCACGTGGCTCGTTTTGGAAGGAAACTATTTTTATTGCGGTGCAGCAGAGCCAGATACTTTAGGTACATATACACATATATACGGGTATATATACGTTTTTGACTTGGCGCCAGCGAAATATGGTCGAGTTTCTTGCCCGTGTCGCCGTTGCCGCCACGTCTTTCTTAATTATTTCCTTGGCTAGAGCAAACAATCAACATAATTTTTGACACGCCTCCGGTTTGCAGCTCCTTTTCGTTTTCGCCTTGTCTGCGACATAATGAAAAATGTGCAAAGTTGCGATGGGCAAAAGCAAAAGGCCGCCCTCATTAGCTGCACTTGAGGAGCCACCTCCACCCAGATTCGATGGCCCTTGATTGCCCGGCCATTTTCCGACTTTTCCCAGCACGAGCACAAACGAAACGCAAGCAGCACACAGGGAAAACAGGTGGAAAAGGGTCGTTGTATTGGGCTAGCAACACTTTCCCTTGTTTGCATTTAAATTTCGGTTTCAATATTACCGAAAGCTGCATAAATTATCCTTACAAGCTCAGCTGTTTTTCCGACTTTTCTCCTATGTGGCTGTGTGGCTGTGCATGTGTCTGTGTGTGGCTTTCCCCAACTATAACTATCGATCTCACTTAAGCCTCCTGGGTCCTGACTCTCCGTCTGTCCGTCCGTCTGGCCCATATGCAAACGGGCAATAAAATCTAAATATTTTGCATATAAATCAAATCGATGGAAATTTTCGGGACACAGCAAAGGTGCCATGTGTATGTGTGTGTGCTGCAGACAGAGGGGCACCGGACTTGGGCGGGGAAAGGACGAGGCAGCAGGACAAGGGCTCATAAATTAGCAAAGCCATTGGAAGAAATCGGTTTTCATATTTGCGAGCATAATTTATTAAAAGAAGCTAGTACTTCCGACGCGCCGCAGTCTAATTGCTCAAACTCAAACTCAATTCCGGCAATTACAACTTCAGATACTTTGTACAAATATCTTTTCGGTGCTAACGGACATTTTTGATTCAGCCACTCAAAATGCGACAATTACAAATATATGTATAATTATTTAAAATTCAATATCAGGCTATTAAAATACAATAAATGCAAGTAATTTTCTATTGGTTGTTGAATTATTTATGATATGAAAAGGACAAAAAGTCTTCTATCTAAATCATCAATGTGTTCCAGACATATTTGGCTAAAACCAGGACAAGTGCACACCACTGGAGTCCAGGACTCGACTGCCTTCGGATGAGGACAGATGCAGGTGCAAATGGCGAGGAGACCTCCACTATATGTGTGTGCTCCCAGCTGGGCGATCACGTAGCCATAAGCGGGAATGGCTCCCAATCTGCAGGCCGATCATACGAAATGCGGCAGGTCCTTGAATGTCCTGCGACTACGCTCGGTAATCACGCGTGACGTCCCGGTTTTGTAGTGGATTATTTGCTTACTTCGGCACGTATTGATTGATTGATGGGCAGTGTTTTATTTCCGAATTAAGTGGGGAAGCTCTGCAAGGAGGAGGAAGGAGGAGCTCAATTCCTCAAGGGCTTAGGCGCAGGAAATTGGCTTCTTCTTCTTTATGGATGGCTTTAGACGTTATTATTTTTTCCGAACTATGCACCCAATAAAAAGCATTTTTTATAATAACGAAGAAAATATGCATTAGGGCCGTTCTCTGGCAGGATATCAAACAGCAGAGTTCGCAGGGTAATGAAGACATCTAGCCACCGAAAATGTCCTGTCATGCGAAGCCTTGAATTTAGCACGTGCAAAAGGATAATGGATAATGGACAATGGACAATGGACAATGGTCATTTGGACGCGCATATGTCCAGGCGTCGGTCCACCTTCATTTGCATCATTTGGCGGCTCCTAATGCAGCGGAGAGCCTGGAAGCAGCACAAGGATGGACTCCGGGAAAAGCGACATGGACGTACGTACGAGAGGATGTGGCATGCAACATTTCGTTTACGTCGAGTGCACTTTCGGTCACATTTATTACACAATTCCAATAAATAACATTTCGCAGGGCTTCCTGCCTGCTGGCTGGCTGCTCCTCTCTCCTTTCTGGCCAGCTCCTTCCAGATCCTGACAGCAGAACACACCGACATCCACATCCACATCCACATCCAGGTCCAGGACTTGCAGGACTTGCGGGACACACGGACACGGACACGGACAGGGACACAGACACAGACACCGCACGTCGGCAACGATTTTCTTTATGGTATTTACAACAACATCGTCAGCTCGTCATCGTTTTGCCGCTGGCCAGAAGAGGGGAAAATCAGGGGCGTCGGGAAACTGAAAGGCAGATAGCGAGGGGGGCCGAGACGGGAGGGTATTTTATTTACGAGTACTTCGCAGCACTCACACACTCGACCGCAAATAAAAGGCAGCGAGCCTCAAAAGGAAAACGCCGAATCGGCTCATACCCTCACCATTTGCATTATGCCACCATGGGTCACCTATCCCGGTTGTAGTGCACTTTAACTGGTATCAAAACTTAATAGCCTCCATATAAAGTCGATTAGCTTACATGTTGCCATTCTTCTTTCAGATAAAGATAAAAGTGTTGCCGCTTCGCGCATCTAGAACGATAAATATAGTTTAAAGCAATGTCCTTAGATACAGAAAAAATATAATAAGCTTGCCAACCTGCACACAAAAGCCATTTGGGTGTACGCAAATGCAGAGTAAGTGGCGGAGTAGGGGATCTGCAGTCGGAGGCATCTGCAGGATGCGCAACTGCTCGCTTTTGCGTGTGTGTGTGTGCAATAAATTTGTGTGCTTTATTGATATTTTATACGATTTTATTTTATGCTTATTCATTCGACTATCGCAGCACGAGTGCCTGGGCCAGTGCACTTGAAGTGCTGTAAATTTGCCATTTAATTGACAGCCGAATCATAATTGCATTGTACTGCCTTGGCCGCATTAAATCCGATTTGCCGCCGCTGTTTGAATTTAAATTCAGCAGCTTCGACTGCCTGCAGTCTGCAGTCTGCATATTTATGAAGTTATTGCAATGCCAACTGGCATAAACATATTCATCGGCGATGTGGGGAACTGTTTGATTTGCCACTCTAACGAACAGGCTGTGTATCGTGTAGGGTGTAGGGTGTGTGCCAGAAGTGCTCATTGTTTGCTATGCAAACTTTGCCAGTCGCTGCTGCTTCGCTGGCTTCTGCGACTCCTGCGACTGCTGACTCCTCCTTCTGCTCCTACTCCTGCTCACACTGAATCCTCCTGCTTTGGCCAAATATCAATAGCACGGCGGGATGTGCAGACGCAAACGGCGAGCCGCACTCCACTGGCATATTTATGTTGAACATGATTATGTTTAATTTTGAACCGATTCCCGCCCCCGAGGCCAGCAAATTTCGTCCTAGTCAAGAGCGGAATACCAAATCCCCGACGGACAACGTTCTAAAAAAGCCAGACGGAAAAAGGCCCCAACTAATCGTATATTCAACTCATATCTAGGAAAGCACTTCAAGGCAATCTGGGGTGGAAATACTAATGTGGTTGGTGCGGCGTTTCAGAAATAACGACATTTGAAACCAATTTTTAAGAGGATAAGCCCAAAAATCTTGTAAATGCAAGCTAAAACAACATTCTGAAACTTTTGAAATGGTTTTAAAACGGACTTCATAGGTTTGCCGAATTTTTGTGGAAACTTGTAAATACCAAAATCCGCACAGCAGCCAACAAAAAATAAACAAGCAGGAAAGCTAGCCTTGGCAAGCCGAAGCCTATATACCCTTGCAGTAATTATCAACTGATGTATTCCAAGTTAGACACTACGTTACTGTGATTTCTTGTAATTATAACCACTAATGGTTAAAAATAACGAAGGTAAATCCGTTTCTACTTATTTTTCGGTTATATGCAGGTATATTACAGCTAGCAAAAAGTATAGTTTTGAATACGTTTAATGCAGATCGCTCTACAACTGAGAGACCAGGAATATAGGAATAGGAATATATAGTACGTGCGTTGCAAACTTCTCACCGAAACCGATATGCCCCCCGCGAGGGTATGAAAAAG